CGGGGGGGCTGCGGGGGCGCCGCCGGCAGCCGTCCCGAGCTCGGGAACCTCGTGCAGCCCCAGCAGAAGATCCCGGTCCTTGGGCAGCCCTGGTGGCTTTCATCAAATCCTAGACCCATAGCCTGGTTTGGGTTGGAAGGGACCTTCTGCCGAAGGAGGACCCCGGGCAGCAGCCGTTGGAGGTCCTGGTCCCACACGTGGCCGGGAGGCTCCCAGCTCCAGGCGGTGGTGGAGCCGGCATCCCTGCGGACACTGGATGTAAAACCTCGGCCAAGGTGCAAGCAGGGTCTGTGGTCCGCGTGGTCTGCAGCTCGGGGGTGTTGCAGGCGCTCGGTGCGGAGGTGTTGGTGCTGTAGCAGACGGTGGAAGGGCTATGACGGGCCATCAGAGCATCCCTGTCCTCCCGGAGAGCTGCCTGCGACTGTCCCGAGACGTTTCATCTCTGTTCTCCTCTTTCTCCTTGGAAAAATTAAAAATAGTCTCCCTACCCTCAGCGTTAGGGGACAGACGTCTGGGAAAAGGCTGGAAGCCTCTCGGTGGGGAAGTCGATAGGGTCAGTGTCCTTTCACATTTATTTTATCCAGGCAGGACATCATTCCAGGTCACCACGCCCTCATTCCTCCCGGCTCTTCTATCTGCAGGTACCGCTGCCCGTAGCCGTAGGTTCTCTCCTGGCATCATTACCCAGTCTCTGTTTCGGAGGGCTCACCTCCTCGCTAGCTCGTCCGTCTCAAAGCCGGGCTGCCCGCAGGACCGGAGTGTCCTGGAGCATCCCCGAGCCCCGGCTGCAAGCCCCCAGCAGCTGCCGGCAGACGATGGATTTGGGAGGATCGGGGCAGGGGGGAATCGCTGCAGCTGCTCCTCGATGGGCGATTACAGAGCAGCATCCAGGTTAATTTAGTCATGTTTGTTTGTGGATGATGAGAAGCAGCGTGATTAAAATGTTTTTTTGCTGAGCTGGGTTCAGTTGCAGCTGTCCCAGTTGGACTGGTTTTGGTAACGCCGCCCGGTCCCTGCTCACCATCGACCTTCCCGGCCCTGCAGATGGGAGGGCTTGTGCTGGGAGCTCGGGGGCAGATGCGCTGGTTCAGAAGCAGCTTTACAGACAGGATTGTTTTCCAGCCGAGCCCTGTGGCACGCTGAATTGCTGCCCAGGTGATAGCCTCAACCCTGCAGGCTGCCCGGAGAGCGGCAGAGGGAAACGTGGTGTGACTTGGGATATAACCGGGATCTTCGCCGTGTTCCCACTGGTGCTCAGCAGAACCCAACTGGCCACGCTCCGTGGGAGGTGGGGCTGCTTCCTCCCTCTTCCCACCACCTCTCGATGCAGGAGAATTATTTTAATGATGGAGTTTTGCAGAGTAAGAACTTTTCACTTAAATTTTGCCTTAGCTACACAATAGCAGACGACTCCGAAATCCATGCTCATTCCTTCTCTGTTCATTTCGGAAAACAGAAATGAAGATTTGCGTGCCCAAACGTGTTCTTATTTTGTCGCTTTTAATTTTTTGTCGAACTGCATCGTGAGCAGATCCTGCCGAGGTGCGTCTCTCTCAAACTCCTGCGCAGCACAAGCCGATGCGTTGCTCTTTCTCTTTTACACAACCAGCCCCGGAGCCCTTTCCATCCGTCCCTCGAGCTCCGCAGCCTCGCAGAGAGGCGAGCCGAACAGACAGGGAAGCCGAGGCTGAGAAAGGCTTTCCAGGGACTCAGTGCCAAGGACGAAACCAGAACCCCCCAAAAAAAAATCCTGGCTCCCTGGGTAGGAGGAGAGCGCTGCCTTGGGCGCGCTGGTCCATCCAACACCAGTGTTGGCAAAACCTCACAGGAGAGATCGCCTCAAGCCGCTCCCCGGAGAAAAGCCCCGGGGGTGGCATCTCTTTGGTGCTCCCGTCCGCCGGGGGTCACCTGGGTGGGACCGTCCCTCCAGGCGAGGCCAGCGCGGGGCCAGGGAATTGCTTTCCTGAACTCCTCACTCTCTGCTTCTCTTTTGCAATTGGCTTCAGAGGATGCGGTGCAAATCAGGTCAGAGCTGGTGTGGGGGTTTTTTGGAGGTTGTTGTTGAGTGTTTGTGCAGGGGAGAGGGTGTCCCTGGGGTGGGAGAGGGGCCGGAGGCTGCTGTGTGCACAGAGGTTTCTGCTGCCAGTCCCTGCTTCGAGGGAACCCAGGGATAAACCCCATGGAGATGGGAGCTGGGGACCATTGCCAGCCCTTTTCCAGGGTTTTTCCAGGGTTTTTCCAGCCCTTTTCCAGCGGGGAGAGGAGGCGGCAGGCAAAGCAAAAGGCGAGTGT